TTGTGTCGATTTCCTGCGTACGTTGTACGGGAACGTTGTTTATGGAGCACCTTGGACGCTTAGGTGGCCGTTGAATCGGGCTGGTCGGAGGGACTGGGGTCCCGTCCACGTTCCGCTTGTCTCATTGGGTGCAAGAGGCTAAGGGCTAATCCCGAAAAGCGGACCGATAATCAACGCACCAGCGAACAAAAAATTTAACCGAGATCCGAAGGCCTTGCGTGACCGGTCTCTAGAAGCTCCCACACTGGTGCCTCGTTCACGCTCCCGCGTTGGATTTACGCACCATTGCTTTGTGTATCAGACCTTTGAATCGAAGGCCCCAGTTAGGGTTCCCAAAGAAAAACCCCTTCGTCGGTGTGGGTTACCGCGAAGAGTGCCGTGCCCTAAAGTCTTAGGCCCCCATTTGGAAAACCATCTTTCTCATCTGTCTAGTTCTTCTTCTCAATCCCGAATAATCCCAGAGGCCTCCTGTTTACGCCACCCATCGAATATCACTCAGCGGTTTACCATCAAGGTCAAACAATCAGAAGTTATAGGACTTTTGAAGCCGAAATTTCCTTTTCACTTAACCGAGTGCAATGTCCGCACACTCTATCAGATTGGTCAACAAGCTGCCAACAAGCTGTCACACCTCGCCCTTCGATGGCACACTGATTCACGATCAGCAACGACGTCTTGACGGTTGGGCTGAACATTTCAAGGCTCAGCTCAACTGGCCCCCATCGACATCTGAACTATCACTGTCCACCCAGTCCTCCATCTGAAATAAAGGTTTCCAGGGAAATAATTTATCTAAAAAGACATAAAACCTCCTGTCCCGACGGGCTGTCCCCGTCAGCTTTTAAGGATGGAGGCTCAGCCTTAGTCTCGGAGCTAACAAAACTCCTGGGGTCAAAGTGAGAGAGAGAACAGGTTCCAAATGAATGGTGTGAATCGGTAATCATACCGATTTACAAGAAAGGTGACAGATCCTCTTGTGAAAACCAAAGAGGAATTAGTTTAATCAACATCGTCTCTAAAGTTCCCGCTGGGATCATACTCCATCGGTTGTCTGCCGCACGTGAACGGTGTGCACGTGAGANTCGACCATATTTTCACTCTTCGCCAAACCACGGAGCACCAACATTCTTTTCGTAAACCCACCACATCTGTCTTCCTGGATCTAAAAGCGGCTTTCGACTCCGTCGACCGCTCTAAACTCTGGCGCTGCCTCTCTCTCAAAGGTGTGCCCGAGAATTTTATTTCAATATTACGATCGCTTTATACTAATAGCCGAAGTCGAGTCTGAGCTTACGGCACGTTTTCGCCCGAGTTCACCACGGAAAGTGATGTTCGACATGGTTGCCCTCTCTCGATTTCTA